AGCGTGCGGTCACCCCGCCCCAACTCCACCTCCAGGCCAGCCCTTTTGGCCGGTCTGTATCGGCCCTAAGTCATCCAATGCAATTCTACTAGAAGTTGACCATAGACTTGTGCTGGAGAATCTAGAAGTTCCTAGCGAAAATACTTCTCTTGGTATTTGTGGGTCCTCCAGAATGATTTTAGGATCAACTTCTGGCAGATGTTGATCATAGAGTTGCACTGGAAGACCTGGAGATTCCTAGAGAGGGGTTGTCTTAGGTCAAAAGAATAGCATTTTTTTTTTATTTTCAAGTTTTCCACATTCACGGGGGTCCGTCACCCCTAACCCCAGTGAATGTGGAGAGACCACAATAAAATTAAATTAAAAGGAACCAAACCTCTCATGGAATTCCTCATTACAGTGGCCCACAGAGAAATGGCGAGGTGTTGGAAAACGGTAGAGGTATCCTTAGAAATTTGGTGGGAAAAGGTGTGGGATTTATAGTTGCTTGAAAAACGATCTGATGGAAAGGCAAGGTATACAGGACAATCCAGATCAGAACCTTTTCATGATGAATGGCTTCCACTTGTTGACTTTGTGAACAAGGATAAAAACCAAAGGAAACAACCTTTGTCTCATTTGAACCTCTGTCTGGATGTCTTCGCAAAGCTTTGGACAAAACTGACCGCACAAAGATTGCTCCACTCTCTTGATTATAAGTCAATGTGGTGAGAATTGCTATATTGCTGTTTTTAATGTTTTATCATTTTGTGTATCTATCTGTTTACTCACAATAAATACTTACAATTTTGTTTCATAAAAGAAATTAAAATAGTTACACAAAGCAACTGTCTTTCTAAAACAGATAGTTTTGTGTTGTGATTGCAAGCTTCATGTATATTATTTACATTAAAGTGTGTACAAAGTTTTTTTTTTAAAAAAAAATATTTTAAAAATAAAGCCACCCAAACTGCTGGACCTATTATTAGGGGAAGGAGTCAGCACCTTGGACAACTTCTTCAAAATAAAATCCAGAGCAGATTTACCAACGCATGGAAAAGCCACTAGCCGCCACCGGTTTACATGTGCAACCATGTTAGAATCAAGGCAAAATTCTTTATATTTTTCCAACTACAACTACTAGAATCTGACTGTCAGCCTGACCACCCCAAATATTTGCCAATCATCATCATCATCATCATCATCATCATCATCTTAATTCTTTTTAAATTTTCTTTAAAAACATCACACCTTACCAAATTTTCACTTGAACCGCATGAAACTATATGTACATGTAAACAAATTTAGGCTGTGTGTATGATATAATTTAAAGGTATCATTTTAATTTTGCTAGTTCTTTATGTCCCAACAATTGCTGTTACATTCAGTGATGTATCAGAATTATGATTTATGAGTAACATGAGTACAAAAAGCATTACTAAGGATTTTAAAAAAATAATATTCAAATTTTTCTTTAAAAACATCACATCTTACCAAATTTCCACTTTAACCACATGAAACAGTCTCTGTACATGTAAATACATTTAGGCTCTGTGTATTATGTTATAATTTATAGGTATAATTTTAATTTTGCTAGGCGTTTGGGTCACAAATATTGCCATTGCATTGTATATACTGGAATTGTGATTTATAGAAATATTAATATGAAAAACTGTGATATCCAGCCTGGACTGTTTAAATTCTCCCCCGCATTTTCCCGCATTTTCAGTTCAGTTTGCGCATAGGAATATTCCACTGTATTAGTTTG